CCACCACCAAAATCGTCCATACACCACCACCGTACACTACTACCATTAATTTATATAGCAATCTGCAGATATTAAAAAACAAACAGTCTTCTTCTTGCAGACCGCAGACCTTCAGTCCACCACTTCTCCTGTAGCTGTCTACAGTAGTGGTCCGCAGACTGCAGACCTTTTCCTGCGAAAAAACAAACACCCCTTCGGGGGTCGAAGAGTGGGGTTTTTAAAGCAGTGAATACAATGAAAAGAACTGGTGGCAAATCCGTGGGTCTGGTCGAGTCAATTTGTGTTAATGGTGTTATATTGAGTTCGTTCAAGTAATGTACAAGGTACACGTGATAGAAACAATTGCTAGGTTCTTAAACACTAGTATTTTAACGGTAAAATTTTTAGATTCTATTCTCTTGATTCCTACTCTTAGGATCTGTTTGGTTGAATTAAAATAATTTTCTAGAAATTTTAAAATCTACTTTCATAAGTTCATTGTATAAGTGGAAGGAAATCACCTTTTAGAAAAAAATCCTCAAAGATGAGAAAATGACTTTCGACTTTTTTGGATGTAAGTTCATTATCTATTCAATTTTTCAATTTTTGAGTGAATCTTCATTTCTCTAGTTCATTTCCTTCACCCCCATTCTCTCCTCCTGCCCGCCCCTGCCCCGGCCACACCTTGCTGCAAACCTATAGAATGAAACTCTATAATGAAGATTTGGTATCAGTTGTGCATAAAAAATAAATTATGCTTTCTAAAATATTCTAAAACTATCTCCAAAATATCTATTTTATTCATATGTCAACAATGTACTAATATAAAAATTCCCTTTATAACAAATAATGGAAAATTGTTTTTTGTTTGAAAAAAATTGCAAATTGAACAATAAATATTGTGGGGGAGAATAGTTTTTTCGTGGAAATTATTTCCCCTATTATAATTGTCTAGAAACATATTTTCACACAACCAAGTGCACCCTTAACTTTCTATATTTTTCAAGTCCTATTTCTTTTAAACCTTTATAGTTTATTGACTTTATTCTAATTTAATTCTTCCAACGCCTTTCAACTTCTTCAAACTTCTTTCTACTCTTTCTAGTTTTATCTATTTTTTATTTCCTTTAATAGTATTTAAAAATTACTTGCATACATTTATAATAATAATTATTATTATTATTATCAAAGCGCTCCTAAAACCACCGGCTCTAAGGTGGGAGGATTTACCGCGGTGTCGGGGGTAGGAGCCATAAATTTTATGAACGGAGCACCGTATGTAACTCAATTGAAGTCAGTGTCATGCGGAGTCACTCAAACTCTCAAAGTAAGTAGATGTAGAACCACTTCACATTATTATTATCACTATTATTATTATTATTATTACTGTTACAATTATTATTGTTGTTGTTAGCATTATTAAAATAAATGTATGGAATTAATAAATTTTTTACTTGTAAATACATATATGACGAATAAAAATAACACTTTTATCTAAATTTATAAGACCTCTCAAACAAGAACAAGGATGACTCTTTGACTCTTTGTTATCCATAGTTTTGTTTTTTATACTTTTAATTCAATTAACTTTTCTTTTTAATAATTTAGTTGTTTAATTATTTTTATTATCTTATTTAAATGATACTTTTGTTTAATAAAAAAAGTAATGTGTATCACATGCTTAATCGTTATTTACTTTAGATAGTGCGTAAGAGAAATCATGATAAAGAAACATTATATTGTTTTTAATTAGGTGATTTTATGGGAAACGTTTAAACATTAGTTTTTTCTAAAGCACATGAACTTTCATGGTTAACTTTTAATTAAATTTATAAATATCAAATTTTAAAAGTTACCATAAATTATTTGCTAAAAATAGTCAATTATTATTTAAAAAGTTACCATATATGAAGACATTTTTAAAAATGATTTTTTTTTGAGGGTATTTTAAGAATGATTTTAAATCAAATAAATGCGTACAGTCTCATGGATAAAAAAAGCGTCCATTTGAATTGTACAATTTACTTATCAAGCTCTCATTAAGCAATTATATTAAAGGATAAAGAATTAGTATTGCACTCGAAAGTAACTAATTACGAAAATCTTTGTGAATGATCATATTTATACTATGATTTTTTTCTTATTCTATTGTTCTTTTCAAAATTTTTATTTTTAATATTACAATTTAATATTTTCAGCCAAATTACACAATTGGGGTTGCTTATATTTCAACATTCTTTTTTAAATCTAAAATTTTAATTATCAATGTGTATTTATGATTTTTTCTTACCAAAACCTTTTATAAGGAAACCATTTTATTTAACATACTTATAAAGTATAAATTGAAACACAACAGTAATTTTAATTTCGATACTCTAAGGTATGAGAATATTTTTTTGTTCAAGGCAACGTTTTCAATTTTTTAAAAAGACGGTAATATATTTATACACGGTAATTGCAAAAAAAGAACATATATACCATTATTATTAATATATTATGTTGCTTATAATGAAGTTACCTTATTTAAAATATGTATAAAGTAAAAAATGAAACACAATTATTTTTTTTATCGATTTTTGGTGTTACTTACACTTTCAACATTCCTTTTTTAGCTTAAATTTTTTAATTATCAACACATTTTTATGATTCTTTCTTACCAAAACCGTGCATAAGAAAATCACTTTATTAAAAATATTTAAAAGTATAAACAGAAACGTACAACTGTGATTTTGATTTCGATGCTTTAAGGTATGAGAATATTTTTTTGTTCAAGGCAATGCTTTCATGTTTTCTTCAAATACGGTGATTTTTTATATACGGTAATCGCATAAAAGGAACATACTTTTATTATTATTATTATTATTATTATTATTATTATTATTATTATTATTATTAATATTACGTTGCTTATAATAAAATTACCTTATTTAAAATACGTATAAAGTAAAAATGGAAATACAATTATTTTTTTATTTTTTTTCACAATTCATCTCAATTTCCAAATGTTTAAATTTCATTTATAATATATAATGTTGAACCAAAAAATATTTGGTATGCAAATACTTTTATCCACACGATACCATAATAAGTAATATTTATTCTTTTTATAAAACTATATTTAGAAATTATATTTTTTATTCCTCGTGTTAATTATATTTTCTATAACACGGTGCCATAATTGAAATATTTGTTATAAAATGGTATTAAAAAATTTAAGGTATGGAATTATTACCTTATTAATAAATAACATATTACACGCTAATTTAATTACCGTAATTACTCTTTACTCGGTACTTTAATTTATTACACACGGTACACGATAATTCATAAATATTTATTACTTTCTACTCGTCACTATCACGTTTAACACTTACCCATTCATATTGAGCACTTACCTTTTGTGATTGAAGACCATTTAGGCGGGAAAATGTAAAAGGGAATTCTCTTCTTTTTAAATACTAGAATCATGCCCGTGCTATGCACGGACATAAAATTTTCGAACACTAATTTCAAGTGGCGTAGTTAAAATCAATTGTTAGGAGCTTTAACAAATATATTTGCACCGCAATAGTACAATAAGTTTAATTTCTTAATTTGGGTCCCTATATCTTTAATTTATTGATTAAAGTTATAATACTAATGAAATTAGTGTTTTTTATAACTCAATGTTGTATGTATATTGTTCAAGAAATGATATATTCATAAAATTTTGATCATAAAATATACAAACTTGCCATATATGTACCTCACCAGGTAAAAAAAATTTAAACATTTTAAAAGAAATTTTGAACACATAAATGACAAAGAGTAAATTCCATAATTAGTCCTTTATAACAGAACGGTTTCCCTATTTAGTCCTCTATTATCAAATATTACCCCAGTGGTCATTCTTTTATGGGTATCTTTCCACAGATAGTCCTTTTTTGATCGTCTATCAAGTTGGTATTAATTTGAAGGCTAAAAGTGTAATTTCCCAATGATAATATATCTTTTTTGTCATACACAATTCCAAAGGCTGTTCCGATTGAGTCGTTTGTGAATTACAGTCGCTTTCTACTACAACCATAATATATAAATGTGGTCTTTCGTCGGAATCCTAGCCCACAATCATAGTCATTATTTTTGTGTTATCAACTTAACCAATATCAGAACACGTCACTAGACATAATGTTGATGTCAAATTATATTTTTAGCCCTAAAATTAACACCAACATGACAGAAGATAAAAAAGGACCATTTGTGGAAAGGCACCCTTAAAAAAAGGACTACGGGAGTAATATTTGATAACAGAGGACTAAATATAGAAACCCCCCTATTATAAAAGACCAATTATGAAATTTACTCAATGACAAATTTATGCATTATGTAAACAAAATATTCGTGACTCTTGCATTTCTCATATTATTCTCGTAGTACAGCGATAACCATTAAATTAAACTATATGATGACTTGTAAATATATCGAACATAATGATTAAAAAAATCGTTCTTATTGTAATTTATGAAAATAATGATAACTTAATGTCATTCTAATTCCATCGTAAACTAAAAAAATCGTTCTCATCTAAACTAATGATTATTTAAAAAATCGTTCTCATCTCAAATGCTAGGGCCTAGGGGTACACCAAAAAGGTGTATCCCAAATGTCCTCAACCCCTCTTTGTCCATAAAAATAGGCAAGAGAATTTAAAAAAATAAGTAAATAAAAAGCAAATAAAAATGAATGATTGTGGAGGGGGTAGGGGGCATTTGGGGTACAACTTTGGTGTACCCCTAGCATCTCAGTGCAGAGCATTTGTAAATGAAGAGAGACAAAAACATCTTTGCGTGTCCCTAGGCCCATTAAATATTGATTGACACAGTAATTTGGACTGATGTTGGATAAAATGGGCGGGAAACAACATATGCTATTTCATTTTCTTTTTATATATAGTAGGATAGTAATAATTTGACATTTTATTAGGAACGAAAGAAATAGTTTCTTATAGTTCACCCCACGTCACAAAAAATGCTTTCATTTTTTGTTTGTTTAAAAATATACTTCCTCCCACATACTCTCCCCATGATGGATCTAGAATTTTGTAGTCACACAATCATAGACCTTTGAGTGTCTAACCCGAGTTAACCATAATTTCCAATCATAGACACAAAAAAAAAAGACAAATTTACCTTTTGAATTATTGAATGGTACAATTATCAACAAAAAACTACACAGAAGCAATGTTATTTTAAAATTTAACTTTTTTACATTTGACATAAGAAAATGATCAACATCATTATTAGTAGGTTAACGATAAATGCTTAAATCCACATCCTATTTGGCTAAAATTCACTTCATATATAAGAAATGGACATCTTTATCATTTCACTTTTTCCTTCATCATATCAAGCATTAAGGATAAACTTGTTCATTTGAAAAACGATAGGGATGGTCTGAAAGACGATGGGGGACACTGCCACTACACGCTGGTTTGATGGGATAAAAAGAAGGAAGATAGAGAAATGCGATGAAGACGGGTGCGACTAAGAATAAAAAAGAAAGATTATATGTTCGAGTAGATAGGGTTTTAAATTTTATAATAAGTTTTAAAAAACCCGAGTTCGGGTTGGGTAAAATAAAAAACCCGCACCCGATTCGACCCGAAGTCGGATTTGGGAAAAAATTTTCATGTCGGGTTCAGATTATAAACCCGTACCCGATTCGCATTCAGATATTTTAGTATTTAGTCTGATGGATTAATATTGTGTTCGAGTTGAATTCCCATCCCTAATGAGTGTTGATCCAATACCATGTAAGGAGATAAATCTACTTAGAGGAACTCTAAGACTGACTCGAGTAATAGTATTAAAAGTAATGCCATGTGGTGCTTGCTGGGTGCAATGGTAAGTGCGGGTAAAAACTTACATATAGGTATCCTTTAACTATATGGTGATCCATCAGGTGGGGATTCCACTCACCCAGCGGAGAACTCATTCGTTAGTTGAGCATTGACTCGCTGATCTAGTGGGAACAATCATGACTCCTAGAAAAGTATGAAGAAACCTTAGTTAAGTTAAAGTATAAGTACACGTTAATGATGATCCACCATTACGATGAATGCACAGTTATAATGAGAAAGAGGATAGACAAGTGCCAAGTAAATTATGTGATGAACTATGTGGGTGAATTACATGATGTTAACCTTACGTGTATGATATCATGTGTCAATTTTGAACTAGTGGGTTTGCCTTTGTGTACATTCAAATGTTAGATATTTCTCAGTCAGCTTCATAGCTAAGAGTATAATTGTTTTGTTTTGACTGCACACAGGCAAGACGGAGGTCGTTTGATTCTAGAGTGCAGCGAGATGGAGGAGATGTACGAATGTGGGAATCCAAGGGAATAATTACTATGATGATTTTCCGTGAACTCAATTAAATTTTAATTATAAAATATTATATCCAATTAAATTTTAATGTGATAAATGATAGATTGATAAATGTGATAAAATATAAAAAAGTAACATGAATAATTAAATTTTAATTATAAAATATTATATCCAAAATATATTTGATACGAAACCAAAATATATCCGAACCGAACTAGATCCAAAACCGAAATATATCCAATTCAAATTGTATCCGAACCAAAATCTATCTTAAACGATTGATAACTGAAGCGCATCTGAACTGACTCGAAACCAAACCGAACCGAAAAATGTGTAGAACCGAATCAAATCCGAACCAAAATTAAACTGATCCGAACCAAACCAAACCGATTATAACATATACCCAAAAGATATCCGAACCGAAAAAATCCAACCCGAAACCGATCCGGTTGACTCGATTGCCACCTCTAAAAGTGAGTCCAAGAATATTTTATTATATTTTATTAAAGAGGAATTCACTTAAATAGCACTAAAATATAATTATTTTCCCTAAATAGTACCACATGTATTTTTTCTTTCTAATATAGTACTTTTAGTCATTATGCGTTAGTCATTTTTCAAGTAAATATTCGTCATCGCTGATCATTATGGATATTATTAAGTGCTATTTAGGGAATAAAACAGTTTTAGTGCTAGTTAGAAAAATGACTTAAGTTTTAGGGTTATTTAGTGAAATAATTTTTTATTAAATAATTAATAAAAACATACGAATAAACAAAAAAAATTGTGATTTTTGAACAGTGGAGGGATTCGATCCCTAGACCTCCCAATCAGTACATATGTCTAACAACCACCTTAGAGCACTGGTAACACCCCTCACGCCCACCGGCGTTACGGGGCGTTTAACGCCCCGGGGGCGTGAAACACCGCCCCCCGCCGGCGTGAAACGGGCGTGAGGGCGCCTGCGTCAAACGAATGACGCGGCGTGGAAAATGCGCTGCTCCCTCCTAACGGCTAAAATAGCAGTTGCACCCCAAATTAAAAAAAAAAATTTTTCCTATAAATTCAACCCTCCCCAACCAATCTCTCACGCCTTCTCTCCAATCTCTTCTTCTTTCTTATTTTTAAATTTCAAAATTCAAATCCCTCCTCCCAATTTTCAACATGAATCCTTCCGGCTCCGGCTTCGATCCCGACAATCTCCCCCCGAGTGACGCCACGATGTGGTTCTACCAAGAGTGGGGCGATCGACCGCCGATATACGAGACGCAACAATCGGGGTACGTCGACCGAGATTCGGTTCTAGAGACTCAACCGGAACCGTCCGGATCGAAAAAAAGTACACACCGGAGGAGCCACAAAGCCAAAGGCACGTTGACCGATGCGGCACGGGCAATCCAAAAGTGGACGCCGGAGGAGGAGTGCATATTGGCGTCGGCTTGGGTTGACGTCTCCGAGCATTCTATCATTGGTAAAAAATTTGTTTTTTCTAATATATTTATATTTTTATATATATATATTATATTTAATGGTGTCAAAAAATAATAATTATATACTTTTTTAAAGGTACGGAGCAAACGAAGGATGCGATGTGGGATCGTATCGAGGAGAAGTTCTTCACGACGATGAAGAAGGACGGCTCCTACCGAACCCGTGACCAACTCACTTCCAAATGGAGCCACATCAACAAAAAAGTACGAAAATTTATGGGAGTATACGAGGAATGCTCCCGGTCCCGGAGGAGCGGCATGAACGACGCCGATGTTCTCCGGCTTGCCACGACCCGGTATCAAGATGACGGGAACCAAGGCAAGGTGCCCATCGATCTTTGGGGGATTTTGAGTCGTTCCCCGAAGTGGCAACAACTCAACAATCCCGACGGCGTATCATTCCGGAAAAGATCCACCGTCGACGCCGAGGTTGAGGTCGACGAGACCATCAGTTCTACCGATCAAATCCCTTCCTTCAACGTTGCGGTTTCCGATGACGAGGACCCCATTCCACGGCCGATCGGAAGAAAGAAGGCAAAATCCATTGCCTCTGGTTCGGGAGGGTCCGCCTCTATTTCTGCTTCTCCCCGCGACAAAATCGGCCGGGCAATGGTTGAACAACTTCGGGCGTTCAATCTCCAAGAACAAGAGAGGATGAAGCTTAAAGAGAAGGAGTTGAAGCTAAAGGAGCAGGAGGCCGAGATGAAAGTCATGCAAACCGACCCCGCGACGTTGTCGGAGTTTGGACGAATTATCTACGAGCAAAGAATGAGAGAGATCAAGGAGAAATATAAATTTCCTTAGTTGTTTTATTAATGTATCTTTTTTTTAAATTATTGTCGCTTTTTTTATTTAATTAATGTGTTTTTTATTATTCGTGTTTCAATTTAATTAAATAAAAAATTAAATACATTTTATTAATTTAATTTTAGAAGATGTATATTTAAAAATGTAAAAAATGAAGGTTTGAAGCCCCGGGGCTTCAAACCCATTTCCAGTGAATTTTGGGTGTAAGTCAAAGCTGACGTGGCAGAGAGAGAAAGTTTGAAGCCCCGGGGCTTCAAACGTATTACCAGTGCTCTTAGCTAAAGTCTCCTTGTGGCATATCTGGCATAAAGTAAAAATATACTCCGTATAATATTTTTTTGATAAAAAAAATTCTAAAATGATTTCTTTTCAAAAAACATTTAAAAATATAATATTCTAACTAAAATTTAAACTTTTAACTATTCCATATTCTAAAATACATACTACCTTTGTCCCTAAGTATTTGTTCAGTTTTGACTTTTTTACCAACTGTTTTTAACATTTGACCTTTTAAATAAAATATACATTTTATTTTATTTAAATAAAATAATATTTTGAAAATATTTAATATAATAAATCTAATATAACTTTTCTTGAATCAATATCTAATAATTTGAGGTCAAAACTTACAAATTTTGACCAAAAAAATCAATGAGATATTTAAGTTGAATAAGTTTTGAAAACATTGGACAAAATCTTGAAAAAATAAAATCTCCTATTTTAGGGGCATGAAATTTTCAATATAATTTTTAAATATGTCATTGTATATTATTTTATCAATTTAATGCTACCATTCAAATTAATTAAATTGATTATAACTTTAGTCATATATCATAAATAACTTAATTGTTTTTATTTTTATATAAAAGAAGTATTTTTTGTTATATATATATATATATATATATATATATATATATATATATATATATATATATATATATATATATATATATATATATAATTTTCAAATATACGTGAACCACTGGTTCGACCACTTGAACCACCAGTCCGACCAGTGAACCAGTACCTTGGCCGGTTCGGTCTCCGGTCCGGTTTTAAAACTATGGAATTGAACCAGTAGATAGCCGATAGCCCCATTTCATTCCAAATTCCGCATTCCAATTGCCATCCTTCCATCTGTACGCGCTCAACACATGGGAGGAGGAGGAGGAGACCACGGATACCACCACGCCGATGCGGCCGGTGACTTCCGGTCCAAGGTCTGGACCATGACCGGCGGACCTAACTGCAGGCCCGTGCATTGGAAGCGCAATACCGCCATCGCCATGGCTAGAATCGTCCTCGTTTGCATTCCGATTGCTATGAAATCCGCACAGCTCGAGGTCACTAGCTATTATACCCTATTATTCTCAGTAAATTCATACTATGGTTCCAATTTTTCTCCTGAAATATATCTATTGTACTCTGTATTTCTTCGTTTTTTCATTTCCCCCTAAATTGGGATCAAGAACAACAACAACAAACCGAGTGTATTGCCACAAAGAGGGTAGGATGTACGCAGACCTTCCTAAATTTGGATCAATTTGAATTTAAATTGGGCAGGGTGGATGGGCCTTGTGTCATACTGTAGAATAATAGACCAACGCTAGAGGGGGTGAATAGCGTTTGATCGAAGAAATCGCAGGAATTTAAAAATTAAAAGAGAAGTAAAGAGAAGCGTAAAAGGCACACCGAATTTTACCCTGGTTCACCACAACTTGTGGCTAATCCAGCCTCCCGAGAGACTCTCTCGAGCTACACTACTATCTCGTTAAGCTTGCGGGTGCTTAACAAACCGTTACAACTTGAGAGTTCGAGTCACACGAACCTCAACGAATCCTTCAAAGGAAACAACCCTTCCTTTGAATCAACCGAGAGAGATACTATCTCTCAACGTGTCTAAGAACACAAGTACACTCAAGACTCTCTTATAGAGTAGATTATGAGTAAACTAAGTACGCTCAAGAATAACTCAACCTTCACACACAAAATGGCTATAGAAAGCTATGGAAAATGATGATATTTGAATGCAATGAAAGTATAGATGTTGTGAAGTGAATTGGTAAGAAAAGCAGACCCAAACAGCCCTTTTTATAGTGCAAAAATAGGCTCCAACGGACCAATGCATTAAAGGGGTGATTAGCTTGATTTATGGGATTGATTAAATTTGGGATCTGCAGAATATTGGCTTCCCATCGATGTTTAGGACTTACCCATCGCTGGTAAGCCAATTTTCCTTCAGATTTGAAGTCAACGGTCACCTACCCATCGAGTGGTACAAGCTTCCCATCGCTGGTTGGGAGGTTGACTTCCAAACAAGGAAAGAATCAACCTTAAATGACCTACAACGGTCATGGCTTCCCATCGATGGTTTACCCTTACCATCGCTGGGTTCCCATCGATGGGATAGGTTTCCCATCGCTGGGCAAGGTTGTTCTGCCTTGTGATAATTTTGCACCAAGGCTTTAACAGCGATGGGTAGAACTTCCCATCGCTGTTTGGCATGGTTCTGGAAATTGGTTTGGCTAAGGGGCCGCTTACCCATCGATGGGAAGATCTTCCCATCGCTGGGTGGGTGGTTTAGACAGGAACCCATGGTTTTTGCCTTAACCACGCCCTAGCCAACCGATGCGAAAACCGACCGAAAAATTCAAAGTTCTCCAAAATAAAAAC